TTTCGAGGATAATTCTTCTGTCCTAGCTATATGTGATTTAATATTAATGTACATTCTTTCAGATTTGTTCTTTGAATATGAAACAAATCATCATAAGTTCTAATCTAAAGGGTTTCCTTATTTAATTGACTGAGGAGATCAGTTTCACTAAATTTTCTACTGGAATCTTTTTCCATGTCTGCTGTGTAGTGGACTTTGCTTATTTAGGTATCTATAAATTACAAACTGTGCGTTTTTGCAAACTTTCACTTTGGTCTCTAATAGTTTATTCTCCAATAGTTGGTGAATATATAAGTTAGAATCACCATCATCAGAACAGCATTAAATTTTGCCTCCCCTGCCAATGCCTTTTTAGAGAAACATTATGTTGTACCAATTATTCTTTGTTATTGTTTATTTGATTAAGAAGCTAAGCTTTAACTAACAGCAATCTTTTTAACGAGTATGGTTAATATGGATATTGCGGAGATTTGTAACTATAGAGGATCAGTGTTTACAGTATGCATAAATTTCTGCATGTTATTGTTTATATATAGTGAATGTCAAATAATGTTATATCGTGAAAACATTAAAAAGTGGAAACTTTGCTGAAAAATCTAGCTTATTGATTTTGTTTAAAAATGTACTTGAAACTGCAATTTTCCGTTAAGTTCTTCTGACCAATAATAATAATAATAATAATAATAATTGGCCATACAAATTTGATATTGTGCTTTCGTGTCAAGGAAAAATATGAACAATTTTCAGCATAGTCGAAGGCAGTTATTGCAAACTACTTATGATCCTAGATGGGAAGCCTGTGGGATATTTCTAAAAAGAAATACGATATGCAAAATAGCATAAATTAGTAGCAGGCACACACACCTCCAAAAGAATTAGAACTTTACATCTTTACAAATTTGGAATGTTGGAATTTCAGTCTGTAGTGTTGTTTAATGTGAATGTGATATCTGAGAGCGATCAGTATTAAGTAATTTTAGCTCAAAGCCATCATTTAAGTGAACGTCAAAAGTGGAAAATAACTGAAAGAATTTGTGTTGCCTTAGGTCAACCACAATTGGAGGTCATTTGAGTTTTGAATAACTCTCAAAGTGTCATATTAAGAGTAGAATTTGTGTTGCCTTAGGTCAAACAAAAATGGAGGACACCGAAGATTTGAATAACTCTCAAAGTGTCATATCAAGAGTTTGAAGCCACTTTTTAAGCACTGGATTAGTTGATAAGACAGTCTGGTCAAGAGCAACCATAAAAGGCAACTGCATCAGACCATTTTTTTTTTTTTTCTCTTTGATGGCTTGAAGAAACCACGAAGTGACTACAAGTGATTTGGTTTTAAACCTTTCGGCTGCCACAGAACTCGAATTAGCTGTTCTACTGCTGCACAAAGGCTTAATGAAGTTTGTCTGTATGCAAGCAAAACCACTGGTTTTAAGTCCCACTCATTCTAGTTTCCAGAGGGACCCGTTTCATCTGGTGACATCATCACACTCAAATACAGCCAAGAGGACTGTGTCCGAGTATTGTTTATTCACAAGTTCAGATACAGTCTAAGCAGTGATTCTAGATGTGTTTTGATATGGAGAGATGAAGGAAGGAACATGCAACTTGCCTTTCCTCTTGTCAAAAAAATATCCAATTTCCATGACTGCATTTTAATGGCTTGGGGAGAATTATGACAAATGATCACACCGAGCTGCACATCTTTCAAGAAGATCAGACTGTTTAGGGGTGCTGCTGACCCACAGTTTTTGATAATGGGTGATTATGTTCGCTCTCTTTAAGCATATGTGGTGTCAGAATATTTGCAAATAGAAGATAACACTCGAATGGACTGGCCATCTTACTCACCCGACAGAGTATGTATGGTATGCCTTAAGATGCTGAATTCCTCCCTGGACCTTCCAGAAGCTAAAAAGTGCACTTTTAGAATGGTGGCATGCAATTCCACAAGACTTGAGAAATGCTTTGGTAAAATCTATGAAATCCAGATGCGAGGTATGCATATCTGTCCGAGGTGACCATATTAAAGAAAAGATTTTTCAACATTGTCATTATCCTTTGATTTAGACCAGCGGTTGCCAACCGGTGATCTGTAGAAAAATTGGGTCATTATTTATATTTTTATGAAGATTCAGTTTAAAAAATGATGAGTAACAAAAGCTATAATGAAATATGAATTATACATTTTTTAAATTTTAGCAAAATTCGTTCTGAATTTAGCGACTTTAGAAGGTGTATCAAGTTTGAAAGTGAGAGCTGGCACCCATGGATATGCTGCTGTTATCAATAATAATGCAAACTGGAATTTTCTTTTCTTTCGAATTACAAACATATGATATTGTAGTCGCTAATAACACAGTTTTTCTCCGTGTCAATAGGCAACTTGATGGATTTTTGAGAACCATCTGCATTCCTGTTTATAATTGCATCCCTGGAAGTTTCCGTTTTGTCTAACTGTTGAATGATGGTGCCATTGCTAAGTGATTTTTTTTTTTTACAATAATTAAAAATTGGCAGCATAACACTTTCAGTTTATTAATATTGCTTTGCATTTGCCGGTTTGTTCTTGCTTTTCGTGAACTTCTTTTTCAATGATATGGAAATGTGAAGCTTTCTGTACAAGGTGGTAAGATTTTTGTACTTTTCATATCATATAATTTTTCAATGTGAATGAAATATGTGTATCAGTGAGGTGTTAATAGTGTTTTTATTGTTACTTATAATCAGGAACGTAGCCTGAATTTCCATAAAGGCATGCTGCTGAACACCAGGTTTCGAAAATTCTATCAACAAATGAAAATTAGAATTGCATATATTGGAAAGCTGAATATTGTTTTGCGTATTAATATGTTATTTTTAAGGTCTGACTTATGTTTTTTTTTAAATTTATAGTAGTGGTCTGCCAAATATAAAATTATATATATATATAGTGGTCCGTGAAGTTCTAAGGGTTGACGACTGCTGATTTAGATGATCAGCATATATACACATATCTGTGCGGTTATTTAATTCATGAATATCTTATTCATTCTCTGCATGTCTATGAAGAATCCCCCCTTTTTTAATAATTTACTCCTGTCAGCATCTCTTCCCTTTTCTCTGAATGTTTCTCAAATGTACTATTGCTCTTCAATGTGAATCAAAATATGGTTTTGATGATCCAGAAATTAGTAAATAAACACATCAGTTTATTTAACTAGGATGTTATATTTGATGACAATCACCTTCCTTGCATTCATAAGCATAACAAAATGCTTATGTACCAGGCAAATGTCCAAATGTACTTTTAAATATCTACATTTATTCAGTGCAGCCTCAATAAAAACTGTTGCTGAATGAAAGAAAATCAAAAGCATAAGCTACAATTTACAAAAAAGCATAAGCTATAATTTACACAAATATTACTGTTGTATTCAAAATATTTATGACAATTCTAACCCCTAGAATTACATATTATTTACTTTTATTGGGATATAAAATTTTTCTGAATTTGTCTCACTAGCAGGGTGTTGCATCTACCGATACTGATGGGATATTAAAAGTTGCCACAATAGTAATCTGACAGCATGAAGAAAAGCAAGCCTGATATCACATTAATATAATTATAAGCATGAACTATGTACAGTATCATTAGAAAAATTCACAGAAATGTCCAAATCTGATTATCAAAGTAGATGAAACCAAATTTAATAAAAAGCTAAGCAAGCTCAAGAAATACATATTTGCATCTGCTGAAAATCTACTGTTTCTTTCCTTGTAGATTATTAAGACAAAAGATGATAAATTTAAATCCTAAACTTGCTCAGTGAAATTGTAAACAATTAGATTTGAGCACTTCAAGCATTAACTGTGCTATTTTAAGAAAATAAGAGACTAATGAAACATTAAAAAATTTAGGATATTTAAAAAAAATTTTAGGCATATAGGACAACTCTGACTCCTTCACTATTTCTGATGGGCAATTACACTTCTAAAGAAAGCATTATTACCTTGTTTGTTATTAATCTCCTACTACACTCCATGGATGGCACATACCCTTTTCCAGGATCTGTATGTTAATGAGGAAGGACGACTTGCCATGTTTTGAGACCTGCATTGACGGACTGTCATCAGCTCAGTTCATTGGGCCCACTGAGCCCTTGTGGATTGAGGCACCATGGGTGGCACAAGTGTGTAGTTCATCAGTTTTTTCCCAAGTGGGTGGGTGAAGAAGGCGCGTGTTCCTGTCACGTCAAAGGGCACCACTGCAGCAGTCTGTGAGTAGTTGTTGAATTACGGGTTACAGTCGTTCAATGCTCCTAGTGATGGCTTTTGCTTTCGGCAACATCTACCAGTCGAAATTGGAAGCATGGTATGACAAACCTCAGTAGCTTTGAATATAAAACTCAGGTATTTTTCATGAGAGCTCAATTCTCTACTTTAGCACAAAAAAGCTTTCAAATTTGTGAGTGCTGATTGGCTCTATTCGCTCTACAGCATGATTTTAAAAACTATGCAAACTGTAAATTACTATAAATAATTTTGAAGTTAAAACCACTAAGCATAAACTTATTAAAATTCTTTATATGAGAGTTTTGTTTATAATAGTTTGCTGGTAAATACATATAACAATGAATTATTGGCATCAGAAGCAGTGATTTTAAATTTCTTCTCTTTCAGAACTACTGATAATTTCAAGATGAATTTTAACAATTTATGAATTACATGCAGCAGCAATAAACTTTGCTTTCACTTTTGTATTTTTCATTTTATTACAGTAACTATGCAATATATACACAGCAGAAAATGCAACACTCATTGTTTTAAAACAGTGACTGTTTTTAAAATTAAGAATAATTTAGGTTCATGATGCTCATACTGACAACAGAAATTCATATTTATAATGACAAAAAAAACTTGGTGGTTGTAATTTCTTTTATGGATCACTGCAATCTACACACAAATATTACAGTTTTTTATGACAGTATAAATATATGACGTAAATAAGAGAAACGCAAACATTTACATGACGAACTTTTTATTAATCTTTGGAAAAACAGACTGTACACAATTTTTATCCAAAATAACCTAATTCAAAAAAGGGGGCTGACATGAAACATTTGCTTGTAGAAAGGGGTAATAAACAAACAAAAGAAAAGACACATTTTAATGATTTAAAAATTCTGAATAAAAATTACGGTGGCTTCAAACCAGATTAAGCAATGACTTTAGACTACAGGAAGTTAATTTAAAGAAGCATACACAACACTATTTCCTCATGAATACACAAAAAAAACTACTTCCAAACAATGATGAATGCTTTGACAAAAAGAAAATATACTCCTGCTTAAACAGAGTAATGTTAAGTATACAAATATTTGCACAAGTTAAAATAAACTGAATAATGTATACATAAATAATTATAAAAATGATCAGAATCATGGATCTTTTTCCATACACAACATTTTTATCCTCTACAGGTATTTTTTCACTAATCTGGATATCCTGGAAATTTAAAATCATTCAAGGAAAAAAGAAAGATTATACATTCACAGCCAAAGATGTATACATTTCAAGATGTATAACAATTCTGCATTTCAGCAACTGGTAAAACATATACAGAACCTAGTTAATATAATTATGGAAATGTCCAGTGAAATACATTTAAAGAAAATAGTCCGGAGTACGTCTTGTGACATGTGGTTCTCCTCTCCTTGGTGCTGGATCAAACTGTAGGCTAAGGAAGAAAAGAAACAAAATTATTCAGATTACAAATGAATATGTAAGAAAAATTTACCTTTCAAAACCTTAGCTGAAATTCTTTCAGAATGTTAAAATTGTATTAAGGAAAAGATATATTGCTATTAGAATAAAATACACAAAGAAAGCAAGAGAAGGCTTGCAATCTACTCTTCTGTTAAAAAAAGTTTGCGGAAAAGTCGTGTGTGTAGCTTCACAATACTATCTGGCTATCAGTGAGCATCAAAGTACTCTCTGTTGAAGAAGAGTATGAAATGACTAATCTAGGATAGCAGAATTTGTACTTGCAATGTAAAAGTAGTTAAAACACTTTGACATCTTTTGATCTCTCACAGCATGCTGTCACGTTTTCAGGTATTTTTTGGTTCAGAAACATATATACACCATGACACAATCACTTTATATGTTAGATTTCACAGCCTCTGATTATGCTGCTCCTTTTTACGCTGGTTACCAAAATTAAAGAATAAAGAGGAAATATATGCTCACTAAAATAATGCTGCATTCAATGCTGTAATTATTTATAATTATTTATATTAATTAAATACAACTGAACATAAAATGGCATTTCCACACATGTTAGCACCAGAAATATGCAAATTCAGTGATTGACAATGTAGTGTGCAATGGACATGAGTTGGAATTCCAGTCTGTAATATTGTTTTTAAAGTGAATGTGGTTTCCGAGAGTGATCAGTATTCAGTACTTATGGTTCAAAGGCATCGTTTAAGTGGTCAAAAGTAGAAAATAATTGATAGAATTGAGGGAGGTCAAGCACAAATGGAGGTTGCTCAAGATCTGAACATCTCTCAAAGTGTCATATCAAGAGTTTCAAGCCACTTTTTAAGCACTGGATCAATTGATAGACAACCTGGTCAAGAGTGACCAAGAGAAACAATGGCATCAGCAGCTGTTCTCGCTGAAGAATTGAAGAAACTGTGAAGACTCAGATGCTATGCACGTGTTATATCAGGCACCCGGGTTAAAATCACATCCTGTGTAGAACTACACAAGAATTCACATAGCTTTCTTGACATAACGTGCAACCAATGTAGAGTATCAATAACACTGACAGAATAACTGCTTTAAGCCTTTTTTTTTTTTGGATTATCCATTTTGAAATATTTGATTCAAGTATTTACAATTTTTGTCAATTTTGTATCTTTTTTTTTGGAGTTTACTTTGTACTCCACATTTTGAAGAAAGTGCTTTATTTATTTATTATTATCTAAAGACTTTCTGTGAAACTGTAAATTGACTGCAAAAGATTTGGTTTTAGACCTTCAGGCTGCCACAGAACTAGAATTTGCTGTTCTACTGCTGGACGAAGGCTTAACGAGATTGGATGGTATGCAAGCAAAACCATTGATTGATTTGTGTCCCACTCGCTCTAGTTCCCATAAGGGCTCATTTAAACTGGTGCTGTCGTCATGTTCAATGGGCCCAAGACAAATGGCCCCAAGTATTGTTTATACACAAGTCTAAATATAGTCTAAACAGTGATTTTAAACATGGTTTGATATGGAGAGAGGAAGGACACACAACTTGCCTTTCCTTGTCCATGAAGTATCCAATTTCTGCAACCGCATTTTAATTATTTAGGGAGAAATCACAATAAATAAGTGCACCGAACTACATATCTTTGAAGGAGGTTCTGTAACCATTCGGAGATATGCTATGTTATGTAGAAGTGAGGGGGCCACCTAATATTTACCCTAAGTAAGCAGGTATTAGCCCCACACACTAACTAGAAAACTAACAACATTCTGGCATCATTACTGTTTGAAGATAAGTGGACAAGGTATTGGAACCCCAAGTCAAATTGTTTAGGGGTGCTGTTGGCCCATAGTTTTCGCTAATGGATGACAATGCTCGGCCTTATTGAGCATATGTGGCGTCAGAATACTTGAAAATGGAAGATATCACTCGAATGGACCCCTTACTCACCTGACTTGAACCCAATTGAACATGTGTGGGATGCCTTAAGGTGCCGAATTTTAGCACACCAAATTCTTCCCAAGACCCTTAAGAGCTGAAAGGTGTACTTTTGAAAGAGTGGTGAGCAATTCTACAAGACTTAATCAACACTTTGATAAGACCTATGAAATCTGCCTGAGAAAAGACCACATACCATATTAAATGAAAAATGTTCCCATCATTTTCGAATTCCCTAAATTTGGTTTTAATTCAAATATTCTGAAAATAAACAACTGCCAAACATTGTAACTCATGCTAACTAATGCTTTTGTACAAATTTTTATTAAGTATCATTAAGTTTTATATTTGTTATTATTCTTTAATTTTTATGACCAGTGCATAAAGATAATTCTATTCAATTAATGTTTTTAGATAACTCAAGCAATCCAAAATGACAGGATAGCTAGATTATGAAAGATACCGCAAAGCATTCTCTAAATGCTTCCAGGGAGTTATGAGCACTAGAGCAAAGATGCATGTTCTGATTTATGTTTCTTTGCTGTAGTTTTTTACATTTCATCCTACATACTCTTTTCTGTCTTTTGAACATAGTTACATGTTTACAGTGACATTCTACAGTTACATACGCAATCTATATATAATTACAAACTTCACAACAATTATTAGATTAGGGATGCTGAAGATAATACAGTCATAATTCTTTAATCCAGATGTCCATAATCCGGACCTCAAAGCTACAAACTTTCTGCGCATGCGTCAACGCATAATACCTTTACGAATTCGCATATGCGTCTACGCATGCGCATTTAATGTATAACAGACAGTATAAGCTAAGCTAAAATTATCTATCTATTTTAGTTAATGCTGCAGATTGCATTGTTCCTTAATCTTCTAATTGGATCCGGCTTATTATTTTTTGCAGACTGTTAGAGCAGTTTTATAAAAGTAAGCTTGAACTTTCGATTATGTCAAAAAGAATTTTTGATTCTGGAGCTACCAAACGATCTACGAAGCAAAAGCATGTTCCGATGTCCATCAAACAAGAAGTGGAATTGCTGGAAAAAAATGGATAAAGGCATATCCTTCGATTCTCTAATCATTCCGAAATCTGTTTATCAATTTCACGCTGCGTCTGCGGAGGGGTGGGACGATGCGGCACACAATGAACTGAAAGTTGATCTGTAAGCACTATCCTTATCTTCAGGGCAGATGTTTTTATTTTATTCGGCTTATAATTCCTTACTAAATGTAGTATTTCATCTCAATGTACTCTGATATGATTTAAATCAAATTCCTCGTCATTATAAATATCACGAATACACATCAAATAGTTTTCTGGCTGCAATTTTCTAATTTCGACTATGCGCAATGTGTGCTTTATGCATGCGTGCGTAGAAAGAAATGTTTAATAAAGTAAACAAATAAATATTAAGCTTTTTTTTTTTTGTAAATTTTGATATCCTTTAGATCATAATTGCTCTTTATTTGATAAATTACGGTTTCATATTTTTAATTTGATAATTTCTGCATGTCATCTTACCAGATTTAAACTGATGATCTATAATCCGGAAAAACTGACCCGACGAGTCCGGATTAAAGACTTTTGACTGTAGACATAAATTAGAAATTTTGCAATTAACCTCAGGTTTAGGTTGTTAGAAATCTATTTATGACACTTTCTATGTAAAATAATACATGGTGCAAACTATTACAAAATTCAAATAAAATGAATTTTTAAATGATTTGCTTATGTTGTTGTGTTGCTTCACTTTTATAATAATGAAAACAAACAAAAAATCTTATTTCTATTATCCTAAGAATAGAAAAGACAACTGGTACCAATATATTTCATTGCAATTTGAAACTTAGGAGCTTGGCAAGCATGTCTCCACATTCAGGTAAGATCTTAGAAAAACATAATTGTCATATATTAATACAGAAAAGAAAAGTAAATATTTAAAATTAATCTCTAACTTGAAATCTTCAATGTAACTGATGCAATTAAAATTTAAATCAGCAGCAGCAGCATGCAATTAAAAATTTACATAATTTTGTTAATGAACAACTCGGCCTAGAAATAATTGAGTTAAATATTTGAAGGCATTTTGAAGAATTCAACAAAACAAGGTGGGTTTCTATTTTGAATCCAGGAAAACCAAAAACCTATTTGTCAATTAATAATTTCGAAATACCTATCAGCACTGGACATTATTAAAAATGAACTAGTACAAGATGTTATTAAAATTTCTTTTACAATTCTGAAAGTTTCTCATGCAGTGATTCCAAACAGCTCACTGGGGAACTACGGCATCTTCACAAGTGCACAGTGAAATGTTGTAAAAGCTTTATAATTAATTTAACCATTTGGTCAAACTAAACAAAAAACAAAGTGAGAAGTTGGAAAACATCTTTTTGTGTAGATTACAAATAAATAAATAAATAAATAAATAAATAATAGTAGTTATGTAAACTACACATTTTTAATGTAGTTTGCTTTAACTTGACTCTGTATAAAAGTATAGTTGCCGATGAAGAATATTCTTTGCTAATGCAAGCCAATAAGGCTGCGCCTTTTCGATGATGCCATATGATTGTGCTGTATCTCACAAAAATTTAACCTGAGAACACGTATAAGGCTAGAACTGTTGATTTAATGGTTTTGTACAATGGTATTTAATGGTTAGATCAGAGTACATTCATTGATAAATTAATGCTGTTGCCAATGTTTGGCCGATGACATAGTATTGGCGGATTGGGCAATGTTGTGCATTTACATGCCAGAATTGGTGAACATCAGGAGATTTGCTCTTTTTTCTTTTCTCATTGGTTTTAATTTAAAAGTCACTGTTGCAGCCTAGTTTATGAAATAAATTTTCGTTTTATTTTAGATTTGTCCAGGTTTTTTATTTAAGCAAGGCTAAAGTATGCTTTTTGCTACAACTCCAACGGCAACAAGAATGACATTTTCGCAGCTCATTCCTTAAATAGAAATCGCGAACTTTTCTTTGTATTGTTGCTTAAGTTAGCTCATAATATCAC